TCACCTAAACTACAAGGTGAGGTCAAGCACGGTGTGAACAAACTAAGGAAGCTCTTCCTCAAAACAAACAATTAAAATTGGGATGAGCTACAGCTCAGTGGTACAGCAACTGCTTGGCATTTACACATCCCAGGTTCAAGTCCCAGGACCACACAGAGAGATAAACTATACCCCATTTCCAGCATGCAGTCAAGAAAAAAAAAAAAAAAAAAAACATCGGTATCTGTGAGGAAATATTTTTTACAATTTATTCATAGTAGCTATACACCAGTTACAATACAAAGGCACATTACCAGTAAGTGGATAAGTGTGATACATTCACACACTGACTATAAATCAAATATTTTTAAGGCCCTTATTGATGTTCACTACAAAAAGCTGTGCATTGTAATCTCCAATGCATTTTGCTGGGTGATAGGAAGACACCACAGAAAAGCTCAACGGCGTAACTCCATGCATATCCAACTCTGGAAAAGACAAATAAATCATGGGGACAAAAGTCAGATAGGGTCCCCATGTTTGTGGAGGTTAAAGGTGACTACCATAGAAAGGAGCATGTTTATTTTAGCTTACAGTTCATAGTCAGTCACTGAGAAATGCCAAAGCAGGAACTTCAAGCAGAAATCATGTTTCCCCAAACTTGCACAGCTACATTTCTTACACATGCCAGGCAACTGTGCTTAGGGATGCTCCCACCCTCAGTAGGTGGGTCACACGCATGTCACACCGTTCATTTAGTTTTATCACCGAAGAAAATCATTGCTTCATACAGATTTGTATGTCCCTTCATTAAAGAACACCATGAGGTTTCAAGTTTAGGGAAATTGTGAATAGAGCACATACAAAAATTCATTTACAAGTTTATGTGTAAATATGTACTTAAATTCCTAAAACATACAATTGTACTGAAGAGGTGTATGCTGGATCATGTGATATGCATATACATGTACATATACATATATGTATCTATATATAATAATTTTTAAATGTCGAGCTATTTTTCCAGGAAAACTGCAAGGTTTCTAGTTCTAAGTCTCTTCAGATCATGTTAATAATAGTTGGTATCATTTATTTGAATCATTCTATGAAATGTATAAATTGAAATTCATTAAGGTTTTAATTATCAGTTCCCTAACAGTTAAGTTACCTTTTACATCTCGTGTCTGCTATTCATGTTGATGTATTTGTCATATGATGTAAGACTTTTCCTGGGGAGAATTTAACAAATGACCATTCACCCTGGTTAGGCAAAAACAACAAACCAAGGACAAAATTCCACCCAAATCCAGGCTGGTGACCCAGGGACTTTGTTGGGATTCGTTACAGGAACATGGTAAACCAAAGGCAGCTTCATTATTGGAAAGGCCAAACATTCATGGGCAGTGATCCACAAAAAGCTACATCCATTGAGCATTCTGCCCAACTTGTAAGCAGTTCGACCAGGGATTCTCCTCTCAGCGATTGTTGTTAGCTGAATTTTATAATCTTGGGCCCTTGTCAAGCTTGTCAGTATCTGAGCTTTCCAAAGCCTGTAACTTTCCTTAGCTTTGTAAGTCATAAGAACTGCCTTCATCTCTCCAAGAGGGAATGTTTCAGTTCAAAGGGAAGAACATAAAACACCTGATTCACTCACTTGTTATCATCATCATCATCCCTGTTGTTAAATTTTGAGACAGGTTCTTATGTGACAGACGCTGGCCTTAAACTCACAATCCTGCATCAGCCTCCTAAGTGCTTCAAATAGTGGCATGTACCACCACAATAATCTTTAGACATAGTTTCACTGTATTTTTTCCTTACCCATGAGCTTAGACAGTTCTTCCTGTAGTGGATACAGGTCCCTTTTTGAGCAGATGATAAGCAAACGTTGCCAGATGATATGCAATTTATCTTTTCATTTTTATTAATACAGAACTCACAGGAAAAAGTTAACTGCTAAAGTCTGTTTATCAGCATCCATATTCAAGGACCTTGCATTGGAGGCTAGTCTAGTACATTTTTACATACCTAAGGTTGGAATATTTCCTACAATACCCATTATTTGTGATTATATGTATGAGAGTTTTTGTAATTTTGTCAAATTTAAATTGAGGGGTTTCCTTTTTCATTTTAAATGTGTCTCTCCACCTGATCAAGACCATTTGTTATTACATTTATTGTGCCAGCAACTTCACAAAACTCAACTGAATATATTCATGCAGAGCTCTAACTAGAGTCTTTATTCTGTTCCCCTGGTCTGTTTCCTTCAGATACTACTGTGTCCTGATTGTTGCACATGGTTAAGAAACTTAGCATTAGCTTCTAGGATTCCTCAAACCTAATCTACTTTAAAAACAGTATAGTTAGTTTTCCTTTTCCATAGAATGAGGATTTTCGGTATTGACATTTTTTTCCATCTTTTTTTATTTGAATTAGAAACGAGATTGTTTTACATGTCACTCCCAGTTCCCATTCCCTCCTGTCTTCCCCTACCACCCACCCCAACTAAAACCCTACCTATGACATATCCTTTCTGCTCCCCAGGGAGGGTGAGGCCTTCCATAGGGGGTTCTCAGAGTCTATCATATCCTTTGGGATAGGACCTAGGCCCACCCCTGTGTGTCTTGGCTCAGGGAGTATCCCTGTATGTGGACTGGGCTCCCAAAGTCCACACCTATGCTAGGGATAAGTGCTGAACTACCACAGGAGGTCCTGTAGATTTCCGAGGTCTCCTCATTGAAACCCACGTTCCTGGGGTCTGGACCAGTCCCATGCTGGTTTCCCAGCTACCAGTCTAGGGACCTATTGCTCCCTGTTGTTCAGGTCAGCTGTTTCTGTGGGTTTCACCAGTATTGGCATCTTTAAAGGTTCCTACAAAGATCTGGTGAGAATTGCATCAGACCTGTAGATAAGATGGATGGCATAGACTATGTCATCTCACAGTCCACAAACAAAGGTCTGTTGGTCCCTCTGTTGTAAAAAATATCATGAAATTCTTTTATAGGCATTTGTGATTTTTCAGCATATAGTTTACTCAGCATATGTCCACATATTTCTGTTGGAAAACTAATAAGTTAGTTTAAAATTTTGGTTTCTAATTGTTCCCTCATGGTAACTTACATATCATTAGGGTTGTGTATATGAGCCTGCATTTATGGTCAAGCTCTTCGTAAAAACTACTTGTAGTATTCTACATGGACCAGTATATCCTCTGTGAGGGCTTTGTTTCTTTCAACTCAATCTGCTTAGATGAATTTTCTTCTCTTATTGCACTGATTATAACTGTAGCACTGTTGGTAAGCACTGTTGAGAGTAAATGTATTTACTATATTTCAGTCTGATGGAAAAACATACATGTATGTCAGTTGATCTTTGCTAAGTAAAACAGTAAGTCTTTTGCATATGGCTTTCCCCCCAAATTATAGTTTCTTTTATTCATTTTTATCATGAACAGGCCTTGGTTTTTTGAAAATGCTATTTACTCCATCTGATAAGATTATGTGACTTTCCCTCATAAGACAGATAATAATATATGCACTATACTAACAAGTTTTTTTTCTTAGTTTTTAACCTTGACCCAACTTTGAAATATGGAACACAGACAAGACGGTCATGGTAAATTATTTCTTTCATACATTTCTGGATTTGATTGGGTAATTTTTGAAACTTTCTTACATATTATCAAAATGAGTTATCCTGGCCTGCAGTTTTTCCACATTCATCTATAATAATGTAGCTTTATGAAATTAGCTGGCAAGCACTTTCTCTCTTCCATTTTCCACACAAAGGAAGATATTATATAAATTGCTGCTATTTCCACTTTAAATGTGTCTCATAAATCTTCATAGGAACAGTCTCACCTAGGAAGTTTTAAATTATGGGTTCAATGTCAATAACATCTTTAGGATTATTCAGACCATCTATTTAATTACAACCTAGTGTAGGTAGTTTATGATTCTTTGGGGTTTGTTATATTTTATTTATCTAATTTGTCAGATCAACACATGTAGCTGTCCATGGTACCTCATTTTATTGTCTACATGGTAGTAATAACATTTCTTATTTGCTTTCTGATATTGGTAATTTTGTAAGACCCTCAGAAAGCTGAGGCTTCCAGAATCTTAGCCCAGGACGGCGGCCACCCCAAACACAGAATGGAGGCGAAAGCTTGATGCAAACTGCACGAGGCTTTATTGTAGTTTAACAAGCTAACCCCATGTTAGCTCGGGTCTTTCACCCACCCGCCATGGCGAGAAAAGAACCGAGCTAACATGGGGTTAGCTCGTTATACTACAATAAAGCCTCGTGCAGTTTGCATCAAGCTTTCGCCTCCATTCTGTGTTTGGGGTGGCCGCCGTCCTGGGCTAAGATTCTGGAAGCCTCAGCTTTCTGAGGGTCTTACAATTTCTGTCTCCTAATGTTAGAAATCTTAATTTTATTGTTCAGTCTGGATTTCAAATGCCCCCTCCACAAATCATCATTGGGAAGGACAGTCTCCAGCATGTGGCACAATTAGGGTAGTGGAACAGAAGTAGGGCTTAGTGGAAGGCATTCCGCCCCTCCTGTCCTTTCTCTGTCAAGCCAACATGAGCTCAGCACATATGTTGCCCTTGACTTTCTTCATCATTATATTCTGCCTGAACTAGTCCCAGCACAATTTAGTCAAATGACAATGGACTGAACCCTATGAACTGGTGAGAAAAAAATCAAACATCTCACCTTGATACTTTTCATGTGTTTGTCACACTGACAGAGGTCTAATATAATCCTAAAGATGCAAATATGTTATCATTCGCTAACATTTATCTCTGTGAAATACTATAGCATTCTTGTTGCTTTAGGGTTTATCTGGGATATGTCTTCTTTTGCATTTTATATTAACAGCATTTGGGGCTAAAGGGTTCATTCCCAAAAGTGTCTCTCTGTTTTGTGCTCACGAAATTTTGACATGATGCATTTAATTTTCAAATGGCTCAGCATATTTTGTTTACTTCTCATGTGCATTCCTCTTGGATCCACAGATCTATCAGAAGTGTGATATTTTTCAAAAGTATGAAGGTGTCATCCCTCTTCAAATGGAAAAAATAAAATGATCTGGACCATTGGAAAACAGAATGAAGTATTCTGTGAATGGAAAACTTTCAAATACTCAATTTATAGAAAACTTAGAAGAAAGTGAAGAACATATTGAAACTACGCCCATCTCAGCTTCTTCAACATCTCACAGAAAACTCTGGAAAGAGGGGAGTAGGTTTATCATGTGAAATCTCAGAACTGCAGAGGAGTGCTTCTCCTTATTGATAAGAAGTATTTATTTCATCAGAATGAGTATTGATGAGGAAGTAAACACAAAGACTCTCTGCCTCCCACTGGGTACAGATACCATTGATTGATTCTGCAAAATCACAATGCCTCCCTTCATTCTAAGAAATGAAATAGCATCACTGAACAGATACAAACTAACAACAAGAAATGACTCACCCAAACTTTTATTTCCATACAGCGAACATTATGCAAATTAAAATTCAAGCAAAGAAATAAAACCCAAAAAAGAAAGTCCTTTCACCTAAAAACAGAGATACATTATGTCTTGGTTTGTTGAAATTCTTTTAATTTCCCTTACTTCCTAATAATCTAATAATAAATCACTTTCTTTAAAGTCCTGGAATAGACTTGTTTGAATCAATACATTTTAGTTACACCATATTTCTGTTTACGAAGAGTAGCCATACTGGCCATAAAAATGCAGGGACAGATATCCCAGGGAGCTGACAACTTATGCAGTGTGTGTGTGTGTGTGTGTGTGTGTGTGTGTGTGTGTGTGTGTGTGTGTGTGTGTGTGTGTTTCAGGGCTACAAGAAGAAATCATTCCAATAGCAAAACATCCACATCCAAGGATGGGCCATGTTGAGGTCTAAAGCTCTAGGCAGGGGAACTCATGGAAAGATGGTAAGCAGCAATAAGTGGGGCTGGCACAGAGCCTAATTATTTGCATAGAAAACGGAAGAGGATTATCTCTCAGAATAGTCAGGGAACCAGCAGAACCTGACCTGTTAACTTGTTTTCTATTTGTAAATTTTAGTTAAGCCACCTTTATTCACAGGGTGCCAATTTTCTTAGTGTTAAAGTAGGGATTTGGCAATAAAGAAAACTGCAAATTTTAAACATCTGCAAACTCTCTTCCAGGTATATATATTATGTCATTCATTATGTACTAGATAACTAGTTTCAACATCATGGGAGAAAGTGGTAAAGGAAGAGGAATAGCAAAGAACTTGAATTAAAGTACCTGAGACCACAATGAAATAAGTGTTTAAGGTAGGTGCTACTCTACCCAAGTTGATCAATGAACAGTGTATATATGTAGCAAATTACTATAAGAATGTATGATTATGACTGTTGGGAATAAAAACAAAAAATGCTAGGTTCATAATGTTTTTATTATTGTAATTATTATTATTATTATTGTTATTATTATTATTATTACCTGTTTTTATGTTTTATTACTTGTATAGGGAAACAAGCCACTGATTTGAAATTTGTGCTATCCATTAGGGAAGGATTACTGAAAAGTTGATAGAACAATGTAAGCGGAAATGCTTTGCAAATTATAAACACAGACTGGCATAGAATTGCCACTGGTTACATGAAGTATGTGAAGGCAGAATTAGGAAGGATGTCTTGCAGACAGAAGTCAAGGTTATGTCAAATTTGAACAATTCTGAACATCATCCAGTGTGGACATCTCGAATCTGCATAGGTTTTGAGTTGTACATAACAACACGGGGATCTTTTTTTTTGTTTTTTTTTTCAGAGTGAGCATCTTCAGAGAATGGTCAGATCTTTGGCACATGGACCTTAAATATTTTTGCACCCCCCACCTCATGTCACAGACTTTTGAGTTTCTTTTTTTCTTCTATAGAACAGAAACTAGTCCTGTTTCTTGTTTTCTACGTCCACAGGGAGGTAGGGATTGGAACTTTGGTTCATCTTTGGAGAACAATTTCAGGTCTGAAAACTAGCAGGTGCACAGTTCTGGTGTCCTTGTGTTTCCAGCCACTGCAACAGTCACTCCTCTATTGCAAAACTTCAGCCTGTAGCCTGACCACAGGTGCAAGGGCTGGTTTCCTGACTCCAGTCTCCCACTGTGCTGGGACTATCAATCTATACAGAGCTTATATCAAATAACACGGAACATCCCTGAATTTCATCTCCTTCATATCTTCATGCTCCCTTCCTGGAGAATTGGCCCTTTCCAGTATTTCTAAAGAGCAACAGCAATTACCAGTTTTCTGATAATATAATTCTCCCAGCTGCAATAGCCTACAATCCCTAGGGTTGACTTCTATGTTTTGTGGTATTTTTCTCCTTTTCCTAAATCTACATGTTTGGATTCCCCTGCCTATCCTTCAAAGGTCTGAAATGCACCATTTCTCTGACAGATGTTTTACACTCTGGAATACTGGTTTTGACACCTTGGTGGGGATTGGAGTCACCAGGCAATTTAGTGAAGTGACAAGTCCAGACTGTCCATGATTCAGGGTAAGGATTGGGATGTGTACTAGTATTTAAAAGGTACCCCCGGGCCTGGAGGTAACATGATTCAGCTGTCACAGAAAGCAATGCTAACTGACTCTGTGCTTTAGGATGAAGGCCAGTTTCACTCAACTCATGTCCACTTTGAAGTTTGTCCTTTTTGTGTCAAGTACTCTGTGAAAATATAAGCAATAAGTACTGTATTGATCCCCTAAGAGAATGTTTTGGAGGAGTTTGGAGAATGTAGGTTAAAAATGATCAAAATATATTGTATGGATAATCAAAAAATTAATACTTGAAAACTATAACAGGGATCATGACTTTTTAAACCCAGGGCACCTTGCTATATGAGATGAAATGTTTACAAAATTAGCATTCTGTAATAGCCTACCAATGAGAATAAGCAGACATAGGAAAATATTATAGGCTTATTAGGAATGAATGTTTGTTAAAAATGCCTTTATTATAATTAAATTATATGATTATCAAACCTACAGTAGAAATGACCTAAGATCTAAAAGCCCAGGTATTTGTGGATTTCTTTAGAAACTACTTTTCACTATATATACCTCTCATACCAAGCAGCCATTAACAAACATTAAAGCATGTTTTCAGGTTATCTGTATTGTATTAGTTACTTGTCTTGTTGATGCAACAAACCAGCAGAAGCAACTTAAGTAAGGGTAGGTTTATCTTGGTTCACAGTTACAGGGTCTAATCTATCTCTGTTTGACAAGTCATGGCAACAGGGGAATGAGGCAGCTGGCCATGCAACCCACATGTAGCAAGCAAAGAAAAATTAATTTCAGTGCTCTTTGTTTTTTTTTTTGTTGTTTGGTTGTTGTTTTTTGGATTTTGTTGTTGTTGTTTTCGAGACTGGGTTTCTCTGTGGCTTTGGAGGCTGTCCTGGAACTAGATCTTGTGGACCAGGCTGGCCTCGAACTCACAGAGATCTGCCTGCCTCTGCCTCCCGAATGCTTGGATTAAAGGTGTGTGCCACCAACGCCCGGCTCCCACATTCTCTGTTTTACACAATTCAAAATCTCAGCCCCACACTGAAGGTGGATCTTTGCATCTCAATTAATCTAATCAAAATAATCCCTCACAGATGTGATCCCAGAGTCCGTCAAGTTGACCATGTTAATTTCTACAAGCATTAACACAACACACTGTGTCTGAGGCATTATGCTAGTGTCAGGAATATACTATTTCAATTCATCTGCAAGTCCATACACCCAGTGACATTCCTTCTGTTTTGGACTTGGCACACCCACTGTACAAACTGTTCAGTTCTCACATCAATACAAAGATTATCTGGACTCTTCACAATGTGCGCACCTGTCACCCTCCCCTCCCTTACCAGCTTTAGTCACTTTTTCACTCATAGCAGTCCCTCAATCAATTATGAACACTATAGCTAGGCATGTAAGAGCCCCTCATGATCAGCAGGTAATTAATTTCAGATGAAAAAACAAACAAGCAAACCACAGCCCCCTTGATCATTATACATAAGCTTGTCTCTATTTTTAATGTGGACTTCTAGATTTAGGCCATAGGTTGATTAAATCAGTAAAAAACGGTTTTGACCACACATACATACTCTCCCAGGTACAAACATAAATGTTCAAAGGACAATGCTATGTAGTCTATAGACTACAGGGTGAGAGGTAACACAAGTGGAGACACAGCAGACTAAAAGGAAATTGGACAGAGGCAAGGAGAGGGAAGGTGATGGCAGGGAAGGGCTCCCTAGGTAGAGATATTTCTGACAAGTCGACATAATTTTTTCAGGTACTACTGTTGTAATGACTTCATGACCGAGGCTGCTGATCTATAAACCTAGAGACTGGCCTCAAGTGGCACAGGATGTAACATCAGGCTCTGCAATGCTGTGACTTGACACCTTCCAGGCACAAGAAACCTTTACAGTGACCAGATGCTCCAACAGTGTCCTCTCATGTCCCTTTACAAAGATCACCTTTCCCCAGCAGTGAGCGGCTGCTCCCTTTTCAATCCAGTAAGACTTAGTAGTAAATATTTAAACATGAGAGACACTGTGTTTCTGACTATCGCTATACTGTTTACAGGATTCCACATTGGCTGATTTTGAGACTCTCCATAAAGATAATGATAATAATCTATTTTTCAATTATGGTCCAAATTTTCACAACCTGAAAAAAGTATCTCTCATTGTCCATGCAAAAGTTACTGACCAATTTTTGGCATAAGACATCATATAAAGGACATGGCATCAGGAACATAGGGATCATTTGAAGGAAGGAGCCAGCTCTGAATGCTTCCATTGAAGAAGTAAGACACACAATCATCTCTCACCCTTGATGGACTGAATCTAAACAGACATGCTAGCAACAAATGCATAGTTCTAGATGAATTTAGAAAAACAAATATACCAGAACTGCATGGAAAGTCATAGCTTGGTATTAATGAATGTGGATAAAATGTAGTAGGCAGCTTGAGCAACAGAAGCATAAAGCAAACTAGCCAATGGTCAGATGTTGCAGGGTATTTGATCACACTGTGTGAAAATATATCATTTCACCTTGCCTGCAAGATGCCTTCTGATTGATTAATAAAGGCCTCAATGGCCAACATCTAGGCAGGAGAAAATAAGTGGGACCTCTGGGGAAAGAGAGGAACTCGGGAAGAATTTGAGGCATGTGGAATTAAGCCAGTGAGGTGTTGAGCAAGTCACACTTACAGGATGGGGAAGAGGAAAAGAGCCATGTGGCAGAATGCAGATTCATAGAAATGTGTTAATTTAAGTTGGGAACAAGTCTAAGCTAAGACCAAACTTTCATAATTAATAAGAAGTCTCCATGTCATTATTTGGGGGCTGGTGGTTCAAAGAGCTCAGCTACAGTAAGAGATTCGCCAACAGTTACCCCAGGCTACTACTACCTGAAGTGCATTCTCTGGTCCAACTGTGTGAGAACTACCCACGAACTCAGAACACAAAATTTGGTTCTATCACCTCCAGAATCAGACGTCACAGGTTTCAAAGATATATTGTGCACACCCAGATTTAAGAAGCAGTTTCCATGGCTTATTATCATTGAGGGTTGACACTCAAATCTAGAATAGACTGACACCTCCCACCAAGGCCCAATATACACAGTTATGACACCCATCAGTTGGGCCAGCTCATGACGAGCTTGAGCCTCTGAAACTATCAAGAATATCCCAAGACTCTGAATGTTTGGTTTATCATGTGTTATCAATACAGTGGCCCTAGTCAAATTTGGTTTTCAGCATTTGAAACTGATAATCTGAGTAATATAGGATATACCTAAAGTACACCACAAACTGTGGATCACCAAGAAGAAAAATCAATAGAAATTACACTTCAAATGACTTGCCTAAAATAGGATTTTGGGCTGATATTAAATGTTAATAGACTACTAAAATAATTTTCCTTATTTTTATTTCTCTTGCTAACGTAACTACTAGAAAGGCAAAATTACCTCTGTGAAATTCCTACTAGAAACTTCTGCTTTACAGTCAAGCAGGAACCTGTAAGATAATTCTCTTTACACATGTGGAACACTGCTGAGTAGTAGAAATACCAACCTAGCCAGAGAACAGGATTAGGACTAAGCTTGAATCCTGCTGCATAAACCAAATAAAAAAGGAACCATTCTTCCCTCAAACACAGGTAAATAGTGTAATCACCAAGAGAGACTCATCATGTCCACACACTCATGAAAGGTTACCTTGCCTATCTTATAAAAACATCTCAAAAAAAAAAATGCCAATGGCATGAGAGAGCCATGTTTAACTATGGAACAAAACCACTGTATTGTGAAACATTCCTAATCCATCCTCTGCTTGACTCCTCTGGTGAACTCAACATCATTGACTGTGTGAAGAAAGAGTGCTCCAAATGCCAAGGGAACACACTCCTGCAGATGCCATTTAATTACTCTTGCCAAATATCCTCATCTATTCACTGTGCTAAAACTAAACAACTTCCTGCCAGCTTGTTCCATTTTGCAAGGAAGGAAAACAAATAAATAAAATCTCCCTGTTTCTACAACCCTGACCTCAACAAAGTACCAAACAGACTGACAACAGTGTTTAACAGGAAATAGAAGAAGTATCACTATGATGTTATGTATGATCTTTAACACAAATTGTCACCTTCACAGAATCTGGAGTCACCTAGAAGACAGGACTCTGAACATGACTGTGAAGGTTTATCTAGTTTAGGTTCATTGAGGTGGCAAGATTCACCAGAATGGTGGGCAGCATCACTCAATGGGCTGCAGTCTGTAGAAAGGACAAAGTGAACTGAGCATCAGCATCCACCACTCTCTACTTCCTGGCTGTGATACCATGTGATCAGCGGCCTCACATCCTGCCACCATAATGGACCTCTCACTCAGACCTGTGAAACAAAATTAATCATCTCTCCTGTAATTTGCCTTTGCCAGAAATAGACTATGATCTGAGCAAATAATTACCTTGCATTTATCACAGTTAAAACCATATACTTTGGCTCATATCTCAGTAATTCTAAGAACTTTATCTTCCAGATGTGCATAAGAAATGCTAACTGATGTATGTTAAGACACTAGCTTGATGGCATCTGAAAAGTACTGACACATTTACTAAGTGTTTTAAAGGTAATGGAATTTAGCTTTCTAATTACCTTTCTTGCATTCTCTGTCCCTCCTTAAACTCTTCCCAGTCTTTACTCACAACAATTTGACCTTCAGGTCAAGTGTTTTGTTCTGTTTCCACATGCAAAACAAGAACATGTAGAAGTTGTAACTTGACCTATTTCCAAATTAAGAATTATCAGTAGTCCAAAATGGTGAAAGCACTGCTCTCCTTAAGATAATAACTTGGGTTCAAATGAAATCCCTATTCTTACCACACTCAAGCAGTTTCTGAGACTGCAGCTTTCCTGTCTGTGAGTGGGGGCATGGACATGCAGCTTCCTTCCAACTTCCAACTTTTCCACATCCCATACTTTTCATGTAAATGGAAGGGAGGGAGTGTGCCGTGTTTTAGCCAAATAAAGCCCGTATCTACTCAAATAAACGCCTAGGTGATCTTTAAGAACAAGCATCCTTACAGATGGTTTAATACCTATTTCTAAGATGCTTTCATGGTAGCTCAAAAAACTTTCTATAAAAATTATAAAACCATTTATCTTGAATACATTATGAAGGTCCCCTAAGAAAGGAATGTGAGAATGAAACACATGCACAACATTCCTTGACAGATTCTGATGTGCACTTGCAGATCCCATTTAAACGGAGGCGATGTCCAGAGGTTACCTCACTCATTCTGGAATTTGGAGAATGTGTCCTGTGTAAACCAGCTCAGACCAGAATGTCTGTCTTACCTTGTTTATAATCACAGAAACAAGTAATTCCATACAGCACTTGGTTTAATTTACCTGAGTCTTTCACAGAAGCCAGGCATCTTCTATTGTCAGATTTTAGAAGAATGAAGGGTCGAAAAATAAATAAATGAAACAATCAACTACTGCTTTAAAAAAATTAACCAGTACATTTCCCCCAGAGAACCACTTGTAATTATAATATTTTTCTATAAGTTTGAGTATTCTACTTGCAAGTACATCCATGTACCACATACATGTCTGGTGCTGTAGGGGTCAGAACAGGGTGTTGGATTCCATGGGACTGGAGTTACAGATGCTTGTGAGCTGAGATATAAGTGCTGCATGGGACTAGAGTTACAGATGCTTGTGAGCTGAGATATGGGTGCTGGCAATGAACCCAAGTTCTCTGAGAGAGCAGGCAGTGCTCCTAACCACTGAACAAACTCTCCAGTTACAGGAAAGTACCTTTTACTCCTAAACTTCATCTATGAGAAGTCCTGTTTTGAGTGGGTAATCCAATTAGAGTGACCTAATGTGACATGTCAATGGACCTGACTCTCAGGGCATGGACATCTGGGACAGAGAAGGAAACCAGACTTGTGTTCAGAAACTATGTTTAAGTAGAGCAGAGTTTGTCAGCAATGTCTAGACCTGGTTAGCCAGGGTGTCAGTGCCTCTTTAGCACTGTGAAGCTGACTTGCTATAAGGGAAGAAGGGTCTTAATCTAATGTATTTCCAGTGAATGCTGAATGGCCCATCCTAGCACAGGAGGACTTAGTAGATAAGTAGCAAGCATTTGTTTAGTAAAATAAAGACCATCCACTCAATGGTAGCTGCTGTGAATTGATATAAATCCCACACACTCACAAAATTCCTATAACTCAATGGGAGCTGCTATGAAATGGTATGATTCCTGTACATTCACAAAATTCCTGTGTGGATGTCCTGTTCCCTCAAGACCTCAGAATGTCTTATGTATTTATAAATAGGAGCCATCGTTGCCATGCAGCCACTGAGAACTAAGCCCTTAGAGTGCAGCAGAGGTGGGCTGGCATTCAATACTACCAGTATCCACATGAAAGGTAATGTCACTGGAGGATGACAACAGAGATGAGCGGAATACCACCAAAGACTGATAGGGAACAGGAGAGAGATGTGACATTCCCCTCATGGACCTGGAGGACACCTGGCCCTAGACTTCTGGGCTGCAGACCTGGAAGAGGGCAGTTCATTTCTGCAGCCTTTGTTACAGAAGCCTTAGCAACCAGTACTATAAACCAGACAGTCTACATCTTAATATAAAAAAAAAAACTAGAGTTTTTAAAACTCAAATAAAATGAACAGTGGTCCAAAGCTGAGAAAAAGTGTCAAATTATATGTTGTAAAATTTAATATCTAGAGTTTAATGCATAGTGTCTGTTTACTCCTAAAGAAGCAAGCACAGAACAATTAAATTAGTCATGGAAAATTAACAAAAGCCTTTTGAGAATAAAAGAAATAAAACTTTACACAATCTCAGAAAGTAAAAAAATAAGTTGTTGTATTGTGTTCACAAATCATCATGGTTTGTCTAGTGAATAATAATGCAGAAAAAAATAATTCAAAACACATGAGCAAAGGATATACTAAATTCACAAAATTCAAAAAATCAGAACTTCAAAACAGAGTTGGGCACAGGGAAATATTATTTCTTTACCAGTTCTATTTGAAGAACTTGACAATTTTTTTAATCAACTGTATGTCAGACATACACACACAAATAAGAAAAAAAATCTAGAGGAAAAATAAGAAATACACCATATGTTGGCAATGTGAGAAACAATACAAGCACACACATACACTAGTATTTTCAGCATGTCAAAGAACTATTTACCAATTTTTATCTCACATTGTGCAGGTGGCAAAGTTGCTGTATTTTTAAAAGGCTGATTAAAATGCACACAATGCAGAAGCAGACAGTGCACCATCTAAACAAGAAGAGTGACCTTCTAAACAGGAAAAGTAATTTCCCACTATGTGTAGTACCTTTCTGAAAAAATTACTAGCGATTGGCATTGTTGAGAAAAATAAATAAAACATTCCAATAATCACAATCCTGTTAAAACTAGACATTATTTAAAATGCTATAAACATATTTAATTCCTACCTTTAACACAGCTTGATATTAATGGAAATCAAGATTCTTCTAATCCTAGGTGGTCTTTCCATTTTTACACATCATTTTCAGACACTGCCTCCACCCAAGGTACAGTTTTGTGCCCTACTCCTTCTACTTATTTAGTTAGAAATGAATCTTAAAACTATTTATTACATTACTTTCTTATATTCAAATATTGCCATGTTTTATGGAGAAAAAATCACATGCTCCACGAAATTATGTCCTCCAATAAAAATAAGTAAAGATATCCAGCTTTAAATTAACTAGTGCCCTAATCATGCACAACTCAGCTAAAAGTACTTTATTCATTATTACACAATAAACAAAACAGAAGTAAATGGCATTGATATTGTGTGTTTGATAATACTAGTTATGGAAGATAAGCCACCAGCCACATTATGAACCTGGAGCCATACTGACAAGATATTACAGTTTGGGAATTTGTTTGCAGGGGATGATTCAATTCTCCTACTTTTTTCAGGCAGTGAAAACATCACTTCATGCTGACACAGTGGTCTTCACTGTGAATGAACTTCTGCAGGTGTCCTCAGCCTTGGTCTTCCTTATAGAAATATGACTGTCCTGGGGACTAAAATCAATGGTGGAGACACAGCTGTAAGTCTCTGCTCAGCACACCCCAGGTGGCCTTGCCTGACTACCCTGATCCACTAGGATGTCCTGCTCAGCACACCCCAGGGGGCCCTGTCTCCCCTACCTCATTAGGATGTCCTGCTCAGCACACCCCAGGGGGCCCTGTCTACCCTACCTCACTAGGATGTCCTGCTCAGCACACCCCAGGTGGCCTTGTCTACCCTGCTCCACTAGGATGTCCTGCTTATGATCCCAATCAGGTCCATGCTCCTAACCTAACACACACATCCATCCTCTGACAACTTTAGTTGTGCCTCCACATGCTCTTGTTGAACAGTTCTACCTTGGATTTAAGAGTATATCCATTCTGACGGTGTCCTTCATTTTTTTCCCCTGTGGCCCAATGTTTGTTTGTTCTCTTCATGAGTCCTCCTCCTCATCTGATCTCTGAGCCCTGCTCCTCATCTTATCCCATGAGGGCTGAAATGTCTCAGTCCCACACCATGCCATTTCATGTACTCTACATGCCATTTCACGTACAGGAATACCTGTTCTGCACTCAGAGCACTGAAACACAAGCCTCATGTATACTTCTGCTTCAAAGACTGGTGATGCTGTGGAAGTAGAATGCCGGGGAAGTGGAACCATGCCTTCTGAGACTGGAGGTTTCATTCTCTTTGTCAAATTGATTCCCATGAGATCTATTTATTTATTTGGTTCTTGAAGACAGGGTTTCTCTGTGTAGCCCTAGCTGTCCTGGAACTTGCTCTGTAGATTGGGCTAGCCTCTAAATCAGAGATATGCCCGCGTCTGCCTCCTGAGTGCTGGGATGAAAGGCAGGCTCCACTATGCCTGACCTACCTGTGAGATCTGACCTAGACCATAAAAAGTCAATTCTTCAGCAGCTTCTGAAACCACGGGAGGGGGGAAGCTTATTCAATTCCCAGATCACAGTGTTAGCACTCCCATTAGTATGTTGGCACCACTCATAAAGAACATGCCGGTAGTGCACACCTTTAATCCCAGCATTCTGGAGGCAGAGGCAGGTGGATCTCTTGTGAGTTAGAGGCCAGCCTGGTCTACAGAGTGAGTTCGAGGACACACTCCAAAGCAATACAGAGAAATCCTGTCTCTAAAAACCAAGAAAAAAGAACATACTGAAGATAAATATAATAAAGAAGAGAAAAGAATTGTGATATAGAGCAGTGAGCCCTGATAAACATGGGGAGGTGTCAACCTACAACTTTAGAGTTTTTTACTTATGAAGACTCAACCAATTCCATATTTCCAGCTATTCTGACTTCAATTGATTTTTCCCATTTTTTTTCCAAGACTGGGTTTCTCTGTGTTGCTCTAGCTGTCCTGGCACTTGTTCTGTAGACAAGACTGAACTCTAACTCAGAGATCCTCCTGCCTCTGCCTACCAAGTTCTGGGATTAAAGGTGTGCATCACCACCACCACCACCACCACCACCACCAGCAGCAGCAGGTTTTCCAATTTTTAATAAGGGGAGACTCAACTAAGGAGAAAAGTGCCCAGGGAAGTCAGCCCAGAGTCAGAAAAATAGACCTGGATGTATCCAGTGAAGGGTTTAAATCGGTAAATAAACTCCTGTCTACGTGCCTCAGGCTTGGATGGAGGTGGAGGTTCGGGGGACATGTCAGAGCACACAGGAGGCTTTTCACAGCCTTTACCAAGCCCTTACAAACAGCAAACAACTGTGTGTCTGGAAGCACTGAGAAACAGCAAGGAAAGAGAAGAAACTTGTGACTACAGAGGCACAACTCATCCTTGGCCAGCAACTTGGAATGAATTCATCAGAAAACCCGGAGCCTTTGCAGACTGAACAGTCACACACAGCTCAATGGTCACAGGGTTTCCCCAACAGCCAGAACTCCATGCACATGCTTTCAAATACACCAAAGAGCTGAGGAGAAAGGATACAGAAACAGTGACAAGCCAAGCTGATAACACAGATTTCTTTGTACTCCAAGCCTAAAGGCATAAGAACCCTGGAGAAAGGCCTTCATCTCCCCTGTACCAAAACTTCAAGGCAAAGAGGGACATTAGGAACAACAGCCTCTAGTTTTGTACCAATTAAAATTGATGAACATATTTTATCTTGCAAAGAAAAATTAATTCCCCAAAGATATAATTCAAGATACTAGATGGGTGATATAAAAGCTAGCAATGCTCAGCCTCTGGTTGATACAGAAGCAGAGGCTCATATGCATTATTTATGTCAATAAACACCCCTGTCACTTGTAAATAGTAGTTTTATCCAACTCCACATCTATAATAATAATCACATTGGCAGAACACATTGCATTGAGGAATTAGAATGAAGGCAAATGACATTAATGTATAATGGTATATTTATAAAAATAGTATAAAATTTTATAAAAATTTTTAAAAATTTTTTTTGTTTACTTTGAAATCTTTTACATTACTGAGTGGAAAAGGAGATGACAGTATCCTGAGTGCCAACTCCAGTTCACAGTACACTCCTCATACATTTGCATTTCATTTAATAGTGAACACGAGCTTGAGACATGGAGCACATTTTGCATCACTGGAGATAGATTTATAAAGTACACTGTTATTTATTGTGATAAGGAAGCCTGTGTCAGCTTGACTAGGTTATATACCCCAAATTTGTTCACATACAAGTGCTGAGACAATGCTTTGCCTTGTCCAGGGTTAGTCTATACTGTGTAAAAACAGTAACTTTTCAGTCTGTGCTGTCCCCTAAGATACACAACTTGATAAATAGCTTCTGACTACATCTGCAGGCAGAAGGATGGCATTGCACCTTGATGGACACCCTGTCTAGAAACACCTACATGGCAGAAACAAATAAATAACTTTTTCCTAATAGAGAGGCTGCCACCCTATATATATCAAAGTCAATGGGGACTGTACATATTAGTAACTTATGAGGAGAACCAGATCTAAGAATTTATTGAACACACCAAACAGAAGTTCAAGTTCACCCTGCCTTTATTATGAAGTGGTCATTGATGTGTCCTACTCAAATTGTTTTCTGTCTCTTCTCCCATTTGCCCACATGGACCTGCCATGCACCGCTTTTCCTATCCAGTCATCAATGTAGTTTTGTCCTCCACTGCTACAGCCTGTTCCAACCTCCCCAATACAGCAGCCAGACTGTATGGCAGCAATAGTATCAGCAGCAGAAACTCGGGCTGTAACAGTTATCATATGCCTACAGAAACTCTCTTTGCATCTCTCTCAGCTTCTGTGTCTTGGGCCTATTTCAAACATTTTGAACTCTGTTGTGGTAGGGTTAAATCTTTATAATAATTATGCAGCATGATGGATGGATAGATGGATGGACGGACAGACAGACAGACAGATAGATGGATGTGTGCTAAACAGACAATTGTACTGAATGATGACAGAATGTGACTTGAGAGTTAATAATATTAGAATAAGAGACTTTACATTTGCCTTGAACATCTATTCAGTTGGGCTACTTGATAAACTTTATCAAAAGCACCTCATGAAGTTATTGTTATTCATGAAATTCTGGAGTCATAAAAAAAACCTGAAGTGTTCATATTATGTTTTTGACACAGCGTACTCATGGCAGGGGTATCCCACAGAAGGAATTCTACTTCAGGATGAAATCTGTGGACATATTTCACCCTACATATTTGACTTCAACTCTTACCTGAATTTTCAGTCTGTTCCTTGCCCTATAGATGTTGCCTTTGTCAATTCCCATGATTATGTCAATTTTTAAAAATAATCTTTTTCTGAATATGCACAATACAGAATGCACAGGTACAGAACACAGCCACACATCACACATTTTATTCATGTGTGTACAGCTTCTTGATGTGGTATTTAACTATTCTGGCTGAGTTCTACTACTGTGGTGTCAACAAGAAATACCCTCCATGAGTTCATGTGTTTGAATGTTTAGTTCCCAGAAAGTGTGTAGCTGGTGAAGTTGTACTGTCTATGGGGTGGAGCCTCAATGGAGGAAGTGGATCGATGGGTGACGGCATTGAGGTTTTATAGTCTAGTCCCACTTCTTGCTCACTCTCTGATTCCAAACTGTAGGTGAAATATGACTGGCTATCATGGCCATGACTCCATGCCTTCTACCACCAAGAAGGATGGAGCCTCCTGAGATATACCCAATCATAAATCCCTTCTCTCTTAAGCCGCTTCTTGTCAGGCATTTGGGCACAACAACCCAGGGTGCATGAGAAGTCTGTGCTCTTCATGCCTGGAGGAAATGTAACAAGATGATCTCAGGTATGTTTTCTCAGTCACTGCTGGACTTGAGTGGCATGCTTTATGAGGCCATGTTCATATAGAGCCTGTTTGGTAATCCAACTCTACCGAGGTCCTGCCACAAAGTGCTGTCCTCTGGCTGTGGTTCTCCGTCAGTCTGCAGGCGTGTTTGTGTTTCTGGAATTTGCTTGGCTGGCTGTGGCTGCCAAGTCTTCTCTTGGGCAATGTGGATTCCATTTGTGATTTTGATAAACACAATATGTTCAAAAGGTACTGATGGGAAAAGGAATCCCAAAAACTGTCTTGATATTCAAAAACCTGGCTAGAAAAAGCTATTTATTTTTCAATCAGCATGAGACAATTTGGTAAGGACAAGGGGCAGCCGACTTCATTCCACAATTTCCAGAAAATACAAGTAAAAGATTCTGAGTGTGTTTCCAGTCAGTTGGTTATATGTACTTTGTTCTTCTACCCAAAGTCATTCGAGGATTTTTTGTTATTGTTTTGTTTTGGTTTGGTTTGGTTTTTCCTTTTTCATTTACTTCTGTTCTTCTTCTATACACTTAAAATTGGTTTTTTCCTCTTAACTGTTCTAAAACTTAGATGAACGCAGTGTATGTGTATGTATTACCTACTCTCTCTGGTCCTATTTTTGTTGTCTTTAGTTTGCTGTTTGGGACAAAAGTTTCATGTCCTTCAGATTGGTCTTGAATTTGTTACATGGCCTAGAAAGACTTTGAACTTCAGATCTTCCTGTCTCCACCTCCCAAGTGCTGGGATTAGATGTGTGTGCCACTAGGGATTCAATCCAAGGCTTCCTGCTTGCCAACTGATGTATATCCCCAACACCTGGTCTAATTTCAGTTGTCAATTTATCAATACCTACTACAGACCAGCTATAACCTACAAAATACTGTAAGAATGTCACAAATGTGATTTTGTGGTACAAATTATTATAACAAAATTGATTATTAAAAACACAAAGAGCCCAAAGAAATATAGTGTCTTGTATTTTCTGATTAATTTTTTATTTGAATTAGAAAGATTATTTTACATGTCAATCTCAGGTCCCTCTCTCTCCCCTCCTCCCCTACCCCCTCCAACTAATACCCTACCTATCCCTTACCCTTTCTGCTCCCCAGGGAGGGTGGGGCCTTCCGTAGGGGGTCTTCCTAGTCAGTCATATCCTTTGGATACGGCCTAGGCCCACCCCCTTGTGTTAGGCTCAGGGAGTATCCCTCCATGTGGGATGGGCTCCCAAAGTCTACTGCTGTGCTCGGGATAAGTACTAATCCACTACAAGGGGCTCCAATATTTCCAAGGTCTCTTCACTGACACCCACATTCAGGGGGTCTGGATCAGTCCCATTCTGGTTTCCCCGCTATCAGTCTGGGGACCAAGACCTCTCCCTTGTTCAGATCAGCTATTTCTGTGGGTTTCACCAGCCTGGTCTGGACCCCTTTACTCATCAGTTGTCCTTCTCTGCAACTGGATTCCATTTAAGTTCAAAGTTTAACTTTGGGTGTCTGCTTCTACTTCCAACAGCTTCTGGATGAAGGCTATAGGATGGCATATAAGTTAGTCATCAATCTCATTATCGGGGGAGGGGGGGCATTTAAGATCGCCTCTCCTCTGTTGCTTAGTTGTCTGTTGGTGTCATCTTTGTAGCTCTCCAGACATTTCCCTAGTGCCTGATTTCTCTTTAAATCTATAATATTTATATGGTTCCCAGAACTATAGTGTTGTATACATCTATGATTGAAGCACTTGGGAATTAGACTAAAGAGAATAGACAGTCAAGGGTTATCCTCAGCTATACAGTCAATGGTACTGAACTTAAAGTTAATCTGGGCTATATGAGACTATCTCAAAATAAAATAAATCCCCAAACAGTAGAGGACAATTGAGATCTTTTAAAAGTCTATTCTTCAATTTCAAAATAAACAAACTTGATCATTCATACTATTTTGCTGTCTTGACCCTAAGGGAAAGTCTAGTGACAGAAACAAACACATGACAAGAATGAACAAGGAAAGTGAGGAGATACAGTAAGAAAATTCACTAGTGTACACACAGGGCACTTTCACATGTAGTGAAAGGGAACTATAACTGTGACAATTTGCACTGTGAAATTACCACCGATGGAACCTAAGCCCCTTGGTGTGATGCAAACAATATCCAGTGCAAACAACATACATCTAGCAAAAAGTAATGTATGTGTAAATTTCAAAAACAATATCATAGTTGGAACCACACTGATTTATAGTATACATTTGAAAACATAATCTGGAAATGTATAGGAGGGCCAAAATATACATATTTGAATTTTTGCTCACCATGAGAAGAGGCATCTGGAGATGAGCAAGGGGAAGCCATTAGAATGTTTACCCAAGCATGCACTTTAAGTGATGAGAGTCCTACCCACTTCTCTGAGAATCACTCATTCTGCTTCTCTCTAAGTGACTTTCTTACCTACTTCT